TAGATGTTGACATGAAGAGGATCAAAACAGCGGTGGCCGAAACGTCGCAGTTGTTTATACCCGTAAACTGTTTAACCGTTTACAGCTCCTAAGAGCAACATCTTCATTGCCAACTTGGTTCAAGGAGAGCCTCAAAGTTTCAAAGTTTTGCGGAATCGCTCGAATAAACAACACTGGAAGCAGAAGTTCGGCGACAGGCTGGCGCCTACGACGGCTTTCGTCGAAACACGTTGTAGGTCGGTCAAATTAGCCTCGGTTGGGCTCACAGGCGTGAGCTCGAACGTTGAAGGACGTCTCGATAGAGTTGCGTTGTGTTTCAAGTAGCCGATTTCGCGGGTTACGATAACCACGACACGTTGCACGGTCACTGTGTCGGCGACGGTATCGGTCGACGACAGTTTAAAGGTACCTGTCGACGTCCCCGATCTCAGTTCTGCGTTTCCTCTCCTATTACCGACCGTTCGAGACCCCCGATCTTATCCGATCGCGTCGCTCTACGTTTCATTTTCTCTGTTACGTGTCTCTGTTTCCCTCCAACGTTTTATTACTCGCGACAATCCCCGCGTAGAACCAGTGGCGTATTATCCTACAGCCAGAAAAGGGAGGCTAGAACACATAAGTTCATCTTTCCAGGGGGCCTAATCAGGAGAGGCCTTCTATTTTTATTTAATTTACAATCAAATTAAATTTTGTCTTTCGCTCAATGGATGAATTTACTGATATTTTTTGGGAGGAAGTATTTTTTGGGGACATCTATAGAGTTATATTTTTAAATTTCGGAGATGGAAGTTACAGTTTTTATTTTTATCTCAGTTGAGAGAATGTTTGACTTTGATATTCGGAATATGGAAATGTATATACACCTCTGGAAATCAACAAATTTATTATAAAGAAATATTTACAGAACTTGTACGCTATACGTATCTGTGTTGTATCCACTCATACGGAACCTGCTTCATATTTTGTTTACAAATGAAAGTTCAACATCGGTGTTGTATTTGTTAATTAGTACATATAAATAACAAGGGGTTAGTTACGTTACTCTTACGACTCTTCGAGTCTTCTCTTAAAACATGTAAAAGAATATAATATGTAGTATGTGTTAGTAATGTCCATTTCATTCCTGAGAATTGACAGTATTATGTGTAATTCATTAATTAATTAGGAGAATATACTAAGTTGAATTACACTATTAATTAAATTGATCATACACAATCGTATCTACCCCCACGAATTAAATAGAAATTTATGAACAAATATTATTGTATGCTTTAAGATGTTCTATGGTCGAATACGTTGAACTCATTGTTGCTTGTACAGAGTAACTAACAAATACAATTTATAAGAAAAAAACACACGCAATATTTGGTTTTGACTTTGCGCTGATAATCGAGCAACTCAAACAATTAATGAGTGTAAGAGATCCAAGAAAAACAAAGACGAAAAGTGTATTACGAAATATAAATTTCATTGAACAAGAAAAGTTAAATAATACGTCGATAATTTGTATCGATGGTTATACAAGGAATAAAATTTGTTATAATGACCTGACTTACAATCTCTGAGTTCGAAAAGCACGCAGAGACCAAGTGAGGTAATGGGAATGCCTATTAGATTAGGTGTATGTATGTGCATTATTTGTAATTTATTTATCCGAATCAGATATTTCCTTTACGTTATGCAGTGTCTTTTATATCGTTTATTTCGTGGACTCGATAAATTAAATTTGTACTTGAAAATGTTTTTACTCGTTTTAGTTCTTTTTATATGGGGCCCCCCATTTTATTTTGTGTTGGGCCTTGTGAAGGTATAATACGCCACTTCGTATAATGATTTCTCTCGAGACTTTTCGTTCCCCTGGAAGAACGCCGTCTTCTCCTTTTGCCTCGAGCATCCCTCTCACTGAAGGAGAGAAAAATACACGTCAGAAGAACGAGGAACAACGTGAAAGAGCATCGAGTTCTCTGAAAGCAACGAACTGTATTTAGAAAGAACGGTTTAATTCAAAATTCCAAAGTTGTGCTCGCAGGGTGCAAAAACAATTTAAGACAATGGCATGGTCTGGTCAAGGGTATGTTTAATTATTTTTAAGAACAAAGCAATATTATCTTCTTTGACGCAAACAGAAAAGCAAGAAGTAATTTTTAATTATACAAAATCGACTGCATTACGAAACTAATAAAAATTACGTCTATGTTATTGCACAACTGCTTTATTAAATATATCAAATTACATTTGAGTCCACTTCAATAAAATTATGTAATCAACGTAATATTAGTCCAAGAAACATTAAGACAATTAAAAAAAAAAAATAAGAAGAAAAGAAAACTTGTTTCGTAAAAGGTGAATGAAGGAAACAGAAAATTATCGAAGAGAAATTAAAGCTTAGAATTGAGTACATACCAAATTCTAATGTGACCTTACTTACTACGTGTGTTTACATCAAAAGCACAAAAGTGTTTATCTTCGTAGAAGAAAAAGATTAGAAAATTGTTTGATGTACAGTTAGCGTAAGAAGTATTCATACAGCAACCCAATTAAAATAAATGGTTCCTGTACGAATACTTATTACGCTGACTGTACATATGGAAAAAAATTCCTAGTTTTCTGTGCGATTCTTCTGTTACCTAATTTTTATGAAAAATAATTCAGTTTGGACGTGTGGAACACTAAGGGTGAGCTGTCACAATATTTGTTGCTTCCTTTCTTAAATTGGACATAGAATGCAAGATCTCATTTCATTTTGTTATGTATTCAATTCAAACTGCCTTTATTTCTACCTCAATTTTTATACATTTTTGCCATTTCACCTTATATAAAACAATTTCTTACTTTTCTAATTTTTTCTAATTTTGTTTACATGAGTGTTAAGTTTAGTACAATATTTGATTGAAAATGACCTACTCGTGGGATCGAAACATTTAATAAAGACAATTCCTTGCACCAGACAATACATAATTCTTTCACAATGATTTAATTGATACAGTTGGCGATTGATTAAAAAAAATAGTGCCAACGGTCTTAAAAATACAAGAAATGTTATGGATAAAAAATGAAGGGTTCGAGGAGGACTCTGTGCAATTAAAGTTATATTTATATATTAAATTGATTTGGCAAGTAATTAAATTATTTATTAATGAAAATAAAAGAAACGAAATCGCTTCTACAATAACAACAATAATTGTCTTTCGTCATGACAACATCAGATTACATATTTCTTTGACGATATGAACAAAATTATTTCAATTAATAGAAATGTACAAGTTTTACCATACGCAGAGGAGAAATTTTCATTTCTTTTATCGAATTCACCTTTGTACAGATTTTTATTTCCGGCAAGTTCTACTAACTTCGTATATCGTCAAAGCAGTTGTTTCGCGCTTTATCGAATTCATATACCAGCAAATTTGTTCTTGTTCCAAGTTCTACAAAATTAATTTACCATTAAGTTTTAATTTCTGTCGAATTTTACAAAATTCATTCCATGGGAAAGTACACAGAAGCGTTAATAATGTGAAATAATCACGCGTCCGAGATTTTCAAACGTAAACTCCACAGGTGAGAAATGTAGACAAACGACACACGAAAAAATTACATAAGCAAAAGGTTGTATCACTGATTATATTATTTATGTATACGTAATATAATATTTCGCCAAATAATTCAAAATACGATAATTACTTAACATCCAACATTTTATTGTTGTATTAATACTTTCATGTTGGAATTCAGAGCTCCTAGATACAATTAGTCCTGCCATAAGTTCGGTTACGTGTGTATTAGACTCTTGTTACAAAAGGGCATCGTGCTTTTTAAATTAATATATAGTTCACTGATGGTTCATTTCTCAAATAAATGTACTATGTATACTTTAAGTGTATATGTGTAATACTAATATTATACATACATACAGAAGATTATTTCTATTTCTATTATATTAATTATAGATAAAAACACAAATTGTTTCTAATACGTAAATTAAACTATAAAACCACTTATACCTATTAAGTGTTCCCATAAACTACAAATGAACACCTGATGATACCTGACACATGAACACATAAAATTGAAACATTACTGACGATTATTTTTTGGCTATTCTTTCTTATTAATTTTATATATCGTTATATACTGTATTTAATGCATTCTACAATACTTATTCGAATTTATATTATAAAGGGAATTTTAAAAAACAATGCACATTATTCCATCGCGTTTCTGAACTTTTTGTTGTATGGAGTTAATCGATTTCTGCTATGACCAGCTCCATTAAAAATCGAAAAGTAAAGGTGAACTATTTTACGAATGCACGTAAAATTCCAAAACCGATAACATTTCTTACCCTTTTTACGATAGCCCAGCATAGATACAACAGAACGCACGGCAGGACTATGGACACAATGTTCTCGAAACCCTTCGAATTTATATCCGAAACGGTATTTAATGTCGCCAATAATTTGCGCGATATTTACGCGCTCGAAATAAAACGGAGCGGGCGGCATAAAGCATTCGTGTCGCCGTTTTAAATCAAACGAATATTCGGGACCTGAGCCCAGTGTATTCGCCGGCAGATAAACCGCGTATTTTGAGCGCGCCACGTATCAAATAAATCAGGGAAGTTTAATCGATGCAAATCTATTTATTCGTATAAACCAGGATGAGAGCGTCGAATAGGGCGGGCGCCCCCGTTATCCAGCCGCGATATCGGTTTGCATTTGCTTTCTTCCTCACGTGGCCGTGGAATTTCGTTATTTTTAACGAATGCATTGTTGCGTAATACTATTAGTTTAGGTGTCACGTTTCATTGTCCGTACGACCCGCGGGAGCCATTGTAACGTTCAGATGATCCGCGTCGAACACCGAAACGAGACAGAATTCTCGCAACGTTACCATGAGCCGAAAACATGATTTTTCACGTTTTTCCAACGTTGTTCTGACGAGCGCGCGCATTTCTACGCGATCACTCGGTGTCTAATAAAACGTTTCGTGTCTCATGGCAGGACTTCACGCTGGATTTTTACTTCCGGCAATTCTGGACGGACCCGAGACTCGCGTTCAAGAAACGAACGGGTGTCGAGACGCTCAGCGTCGGCTCGGAGTTCATCAAGAATATCTGGGTGCCTGACACATTCTTCGTCAACGAGAAGCAATCGTACTTTCACATCGCTACCACCAGCAACGAGTTCATTCGTATTCATCACTCGGGAAGCATCACGCGTAGTATACGGTGAGTAAAGACGATATCGTGATCAATTTTAAACACTGTGCTTTTTTGTTTTCCAGCAACGGCAAGCGGTGGCTACCCGGTGTTGCTTGGTATAAGCACTTCGAGGTGGTGTTGGTAGCGTACAAAGTTTGTGGTACCTTTTCTTACTATGTTCGTTCGAGTAGGGCAGTGGTTCTTAACCTTACCAAGCCAGCTGCACAGTTTAAGGATACATTCTAGGGTGAATTTGCCAAAATATTGTATTCCTTTTGTTTCATACTTCGATAGTAGTTACAAGAATGCGGTGTGCATATTTCAGAATGGAATTCGTTATAGGAACGATTCTGCAGGTGAAACTTTTGAGAATGCGGATATTTATGCATTTATAGCAAATGGAAGTATGGGAAAATCAATGAGAAAGCAAAAATATATAAAATATCATTGATAATATGCATGTTATACCGTTTGGACGATACGGCGTATTTTCATTTCAATTTTAATTTTTTACTGTGCCTGAGAAAACATTAATTTGTATAAATATCCACAGTCTAAAAATAAGTAGCGGAGCGCAGCGGAGCAGCGTGTTTCTTTAGTCGGCTTTACAACTTTATTTGCCAATTTTTTATTGCGAAGTCGTTGTTATTATAAAATTTTTTAATTCCTTTTGAGTAGAAACATATAGCGGCTTCAAAGATAAAATGTTAACGCTATTTTCTCAGAACGTTATTTATTTGTACTGTAATCATGATTTAAAAAGAAAACCAATGCACTGATTATCAAAATTCAAAGAACGTTATATTCCTATGCCCGTCTATTATCGTATATACTATAATAAAAAGTATCAGTTAATAAATACATCCGTTATGAAACATTTTCTAACAATCAATATTCTTTCAATATTTTACAAAACTATATGCCAATGTCCCAATGTTCATTGTTTTCACATCATTCTAATACATACGAAAGCCAAGAAAAAATTTGGTTTTGGTTTCGAAAAAATTCGTTACGAGCAATTTTCCCAATGTGAGTTCCTTTCTTAGAATTGTGCTAATAGAATGAGAAGAAAAAATTGTTTTTCAACTTTTTAAGTATCTATCGTTAAGCACGAAATTATGGAATATTGTACGATTTATAGATTTCTTTTTTTTTCTAATTCCCAAAAAAGCTTCTTTCTAAACTTTACAATAGAATGTATCCTTAAAAGGACACAATTTAGAGAGAGAGAAAACAGGCTCGGTTTTGACGACTTAGGAAGACATGAATTCAATGACAGATTGTTTTTTCAAGTATAAATTTGAAGTACAAGTTCAATAAAAAAGAAAATTTCAACCGAATCAAGTATCAGTTTAAGGATAAAAATATTTTAATTGTTTAGATATTATATTGATAATTATGTACTGTCCTATAAAAGTTTAATAAGCCGATTTTTTAGAGTTTTCTCGTGGAGATATATTGTTTCCCTTAAGCTTTAATTAATTCATGAATATACAATTAATTTAGCGAGTAACTACTTTTTTAGAAGATAAAATAAAATTAACACAGGAAAATTTCATACCGATGCCTGTTTAGAACAAATCTGTTTACTTCATCAAAATTATAGTAATAATTTTATAAATTATAACAAGCAAAAAATCATCACATCTGTTACCAAAAGTTGATGGCATAATGGTTAAGAATCACTGGAATAGAAATATAGAAAATATACCTTATTGTTAAACCAACAAAATGATCTCTCAACAAGAATATAATGGAATATTCTTAATTCAGCACAAGATCAACTTGTGTAAATGCGAATTTCGAAGAGATATATAGTGGTGTCCATGTGGAAATCTTCAGGTAAAAACGTGTTATAATAAATCAAAGAAAATTTTACACAATGTTTTCGTATTGCGAGGTGGATATGCCACTAACATAAAATGGTAGATAGTAACAGCTTGCGTTGTTCGAAATATTATCAAGACTCGCAACAATCTCACCGGTAAGTTAGCTTATAGATGCTATTTCACAAATCAAATATTTACCTGATCGAATCCTTCTCAACGTTACATATCTGTCCATCAGTAACATCACAATATTCTCAAGACTCTTAACTAGAATCTATTTGAATTTTATGAACTCGACGCAAGAGCAATTTCTCTAAAGAGGGAAATCAGAAAATTGAAATACGAAGGAGAATTTTTGAGTAGTGAAATAGATTTTCTCAGGCACGACTTCAACCCAAGTTCAATACACGCTGCCGCCAAGGAGCAACCAAGACACTCGAGGGAGCAATTGTATCAGCCACAACAAATTTATTCCCAGCATCGGTCGACGCCACTTTCATCTCCTTCTCCCTCCGTCCCATCTGTACTATCTATCCCCTTATCTATCCCCCTCGAACCATCCTCGAGTGTTCTGGTATTAACGCTACTATATTCAGACGATCCATGTACATCTAACTTTGTCGTGCTCACCCTTTTCGTTCCTTTACATTACGTCTCCTTCCGGTTCTATCACCACAAGGCCAATCGAAACTAGGCAGAAAGCACAGAACGATGAGGGATCTCGATGGAGATAATTTCCCTTCGTTTGGGTGAAAACTATCGATCGATGCAGGTCGAAACAGTATAATGATCGAGGAGTCGCAAGGGTGGTCGCCTAACCTCGATCGTTGTTCTACGAAGATTGCGACGAATTAAAATTTAAAAATCATGGTATTTAAACGAACGTGTATTAAAGGGACTAGTATACACGTGACACACGATGGAATTCGATAAATCGTATTCTTAAATTATTGTGGGCTTCCAAAAGCATCATATAATAGGATGAACACCGAATATGAGATATAAATAGAAATGTAATTATTAATAAAAATAGCCTTGCAAGTGTATGCAACCTGGTTTGAGAAACTGTCGAAATGACTGTTGTAAGCAAATTCTTCGGTGGATATACAATTGCTCTAAAACCACGATGACACTCAGTGGTGAGAAAGTGAAATCACCATATGTGGGTGTACGACCTCAGAGTCACAGGAGATTGCAGAGGGTTGATATACCCAATATAAAGAATGAACTAATTAAAAGCGAAATTGACGACGAAAGCTAAAACCTAAACGGCTTACTACAGCATGTCATAAATGGCACACGAAATATAGGGATAGGTTGCTTCAATTGGACCACTTTGGACATTTCTTTAAATTGTAATATTTCTATCGAACGATTCGAAAATATGTAGTTGTACTGGTTATCATTTCGTGTGTATTAGAGACTAATACATATAGAAAAATACAAATCGTTTATTAAAAATATTACAAGTTATAAAAATGTCTAAGGTGACCTGATTTAGGTAACCTTCACCTAAGGGCGAAGAGCTAAGAACAAGAATAAAAAGGGTGAGGGACCAACTAGCAAAGAGAGATGCTAGAGAAGCGATACATGGAAGAATGAATACAATGCTAACTGCAGAAATGACAGAAGCATTCGAATAGTATACAATAGTATACGACAAATGTGGAGCATCAGATATGCACTAAAAAATACTCTACAATACAGTTGTTTCAATATCGTAAAATATTTTACAGATTCTCTTTTACTCTATATAATTTACTCTACCTTTAATTTATTCTATATAATAATAAATTATTGATAACTAACATTTATTAAAAAAATTAGTATATCCACTTTTGTCCATTTGGAAACTACTATTATTCTTAAGATATTTATATCTTAAGGTGGGTTTTCAAGGATAATTATGGATAACATGGATGGGCTCGAGAAGCTCCTATTAATCTAACGGATCATGGCTCAGTCTTCCTATGGTTAATGCATGTGTACCCAGTACATGTGAAATAGGAACCTCTACTGGAAATTGATGCAGCTTAAATTCGAACTCCGACTTAAAAATTCAGTCAAAGTCCATAACATCGAATGTCGTCGAAACGAAACACATTATTATTTCTATTTAACATGTTTGACCAAATGTTTGCGGTCCTCCTCGAAATGATCGAACTAGGGTGATCTAAATTAAACAGATCAGATATAAATTACTTAACGAAGAAGTACTACAATTTTCTGTTTGGTAATTCTTCATTAAATGTAAGTAATTTATCTTATGTGCTCTATATAATATAGATTATATAAATTACATATACTATAGTTGTAGTAGTTCCTCGTTAAGTAATTTACACTATATGAAGCAATTTTTCGTATGTTCTCTATATTACAAACATTACTTAAATAATATAATTTATGTTATTTATATTATATAGAGAAGCGAGATAAATTACTCTGTATAATTTAAATTGCTTAATGAGGAACTACTAGAATTAAGTAATATAAATTATTTAACGAGAAACTATAACAAATGTCTGTTTGGTAGTTCCTCTCTAATCTGAAATAATTTGTCTCTTCTCTTCAATATAGAGAATCCTATTTTCACAGTTTTGAAGAAGAATACAAACGTTTGGTCCAAAAGGTTAAACAGAAATAATAAGTGGCGCGTTTCAAGTATATCCAATGTTATCGATTTTAATACGTCAAGCGTCGTTCCGACAAATTTATTCAAAATTGATCGTCGTTTCTTCTTGGTATAGAAATGAAAGGGTGACACTCGAGAAAGAATAAATTGACTAGAGAAACTAATTGACCAAAGCTACCGGAGTAGACACACTGAAAGCAATCTTTACGTTTGTTGCAGTTTAACGATCACAGCATCGTGTCCAATGAATCTGCAATACTTTCCGATGGACCGACAGCTCTGCAATATCGAGATCGAGAGCTGTAAGTACGCACGTGCGCGTCTATAAAATGCATACATACGAACAAGAGACAATCTGAGAAAGTTCGACATCCTCGCCTCTGTCCACAGTCACACAGACACGCTACATTACGTACATGGAAACATACGATCCGTTATTCGTCATTGTACATCAACAGTGCCGATCTTGAGAACGGTAATCGACGTTAACGATCAGGCAAGACGCGGATAATCTTGCCGAGATTATTCCAAATTTTATACGCAATGGGACACCACAGCTGTGCTATCGATGATTTTGGTATTTGAAAGGGTGAATCTAGGGGTAGAATGGATGACATTCTGCGGAATATTTCGTCTCAATGGACATTGCGATTTGCAATGCAAAATGTCTTTAAATTTTTATTTTTCGCAATTAAATATTCTGGGTGAGTACAATGCTTCGGGGTGCAAACTCCCTTGGCTCCAGATGTCGCCTGACTTTCAATTTGAATACTCAAATGTATACAATGTTATTTAACAAGTATTACATTTCAAGGTATACTAATAATCTAATGTACTATTAAAAAATACATTGAAACTTCTATGTTTGAATGTAGCTCAATTTTACGACTATGTGTATGTACGTTACATCAATTCTTACAGCTAGGAGAGCGATACAGGGAACCATCATTTTCAATCATTTGATTTCATACATTTTTATTCAAATAAACTTCATGTATCATAACGTTTATATGTTTTTTTACAACTAATTGACTTTGTATATACTACGTTCATTTGGTATATAAATGTGTAATTCCTCTCTGCTGTGAAAATAAATATATTCTACACACATATAGTTGTAAGATTATACATATCTCGTTTAAGGGAGAATGCTATCATAAGAATATATATTGCAATGCATTTTTTAATAGGCAAAACTATTATTCGTATACTTATAAACAAGTTACGCATATGGGCTGTATACTTGTAAAATAAGATCGTATAAAATTTAATTATTTTATATGAAAATTGGACAAATAAACTGTAGGGTCATCTATCCTAACTCAGATATTTGCTTCAACAGCAAATACTTTTCTGCACACTCGATACACTTTTTCATAAAACATAGTTTTCTATGGCAAAAATGAACTGTTTATCAAAAATTGTCATCGAGACAAAATATTCTATTAAAATGGTACCATTCGATTTCTAGGTTCACCCCTTAAAATATTGTCAACATTTACGATAGGGCAACTATAGGTTCCTCAAATTTTTCAATATGGGAGTTTGACAATAAATACAGTACAAGAAATCTAAAGTTTTGCAAAGATAAAATATGTTTGTGCCTGACCACATTGATATTTTTCATTGATGCTAAAAACTGTTGTTAGTAAGAGTGATACAACCTTTTCAGGGAAACTATAATTTTTCGTGTTTCTGCTAATATATCTGCAACCACAAGATGTTGCAAAAATATTATAGTTCTTGATGCTCTATAATACTTTGATGGAAGATTTTTAAACAAATTTCATTCGTAAGAAGTTTTTTCTACAGAGAAGTTTATAAACAATCTTTAATTAGAGTGTTATAGAATATTATACAGAAATGGGAATATTTTTGTATTATCGCTTTTGGTTTCGAAGTATTGACAAATATATCGAAAATCGTTTCCACCCCTGATACCGTTTTTCAGCACCACTGATGAAGTAACGATGCGATTAAGTTCACATATACTCTTCCAATACTTCAGATTTCCGGTAACGCATCAGTTGTCTAAATCCCGCTGTCAGTTTTCGTTCGACAGAAGATTGCTTCCGAAGTAGACGAAGAACATAATTGAAATCGGGGGTCGATTACCGTTGATTAATCGCGTTTCAACTGTACATCGCTTTCAACCCTTTTTCAGATCAGCTCAGAAAGACGCCTCTGCCGTGTACATATGCGTCCGAGCGTTAAAAAGAAAAACAAAGTACAAAACTAACGAAACCTCGTATGTCCTTCTTTTACACGCTCATACGAAATATCGTTAACCCTGACACCTTACAACCCACCCCCGTCAACGCGACCGCCTCAACTTTCGCCACTCAACTCCACGCCCCCAACCCTCAGAGATCCTCCGAAACCCTTTCTTCCTTTTTTCTTCTCTGTCTTCTCCTCTCTAGCTGTCTTTCTATCTGTCTGTCTGTCCATCACTCGTCACTTTACACGCTCACCAACACACGATTCAGTCACACGATCCCCGGTATCGCCGTGGATCACTTTCATTCACCCCGTCCACTCACTCGCTCACTCACCAGCTCTCGCTCACTCTTACTGAGTTTCTCTATACCATTCACGATGACTGTCAACCTACGTAACATCGTGAACAAGCCGGAAACGGACGCGCGTTTCGATACGACAGTTATATGATCTACTAAAACGTCGTGGAATGATCAGTGTTGAAGTAGGGGAAAGGCGAAGACTGAAGAATTGACGATAAAAAGAAATGTCGCGAGAACGTTCGCAAAAGCTGTACGAAGAATCATCTTCAGTCGCGTACGAACTGGGGAGCCAAGGCGACCGAGGGCACATGTGCTTGGATCTTGTGCCAAGGTCCGGGCACATGTGTCTTCGGTGGCGTTGGTTCTTTGGTCTGTACGCAACTTTGCAAAAGGATCCTACAGCTGTTCCATGAAAGATTTTTATGATATTCGAAGGGGGTGAATCTGATGGTTGAATGATGACATTCTGTGGTATATATCGTTGCAATGGGCATCGATGATAAATAATTGAGATTTGAAGTATAAAAGTAATTACGTTAGGTGTTTTACGAAAAAATATCTTAGTGATGAGCAGTGGCTTCATAAGTGATCTTATGTAACCTGTTGAAAAATATTTTTGAATTTTTTTAAATGAAACATGTGTTGATTCCGTAATTAAATCTACATGTATGTGTAAATTATGTTTAGTTTTACAGCTGGAAGGATGATACATGCAGTACATTAACAACAAATTTCATTGTATGCAAAACAAAGTGCTCGTTGAAATGAGAAATGCATAGATATGCAAATAATGCTAGAATAATAAACACTAGCAATGCATTCAAATAAAAATGTTCAAAATATAGTCGTTTAAAATATAGATTCTCAAATATTATTATTCTGTTGTTAGAACATGTATCATGTGTTTAGCTGTAAATTTAATATAATGTACTCATATATGGCTGTGGAACTAAACACATATTTAAATGTAGATATTCCAACGTACTGGTTATAACAGAAAAGACATAATAAATTATTAGTATCATCTGTATATATTAAACGAGATTTCTTAGAATATTTCACTTCATGAGAATTTTTTATAAGCAATTAAATTTTAATATGTAGTTTTTAAATTACATTTAAACGTTTTCGATCATGTATTTATATTTGAACTATACACAAATATGTGTTAAAGTCACTCAAGACACTTCCACGTCACAAATACGTATTAAATACATCCAAAATATCAAGGCTCAACAATTTAAGGAAACATTAGAGAAAAGAAATGCTCGTAAATAAATAAAAATAACTAATGTTTATTAGCCTTCGAAAACTTTCTCTTTAAACATTTTAAGCCACAGCATATTCATTAATCTCGATATTTCCCAAGTAGATTTTGTTATTATAAAGGCAAATTTTAATTTTCTATCATGCCACTAATAGTCAAGTGGTATTTCACTCTTTACAAAATTACATCTTTTATAATTAATTTTAATAACAAATTATTCTACTTAAAAATTCTAGAATTGTTTCTAAAGATGGCCCAAACAGTGATCGAAAACGTTTTAAATTACTCTTGCATAATGAATGATTCTAATAATCCTTAATCATGCTATTAATTAATTTCTAATGTTAATGTTATGTTTACACTACAGGGTGTCTACGTTAAAGTGTGACAAACGCATATTTCAATACCTATTAATGATATGAAAAAATTGATAGATGTAAATGACATGATACAATGGGCTCTTTTGTGGCGTAAACGAAATTTTTTTTATATTATTAATTTAAAAGATATGATGGTGAAGTTTCTGATAGTGCTTTTCAAGACGAATTCATTGACCCTTAATGTATTCACCCGATTTTTATTAGTTTTCAAGATAGAACGCTTCGAAATTTACTGATTTTCAGTGGCAAAGTCTCGATTTGAGTGACAAAACATAAAAGCGGTCCGACGCGGTCACTCAAATCGAGACTTTTCCACTGAAAATCAGTAAATTTCGAAGCGTTCTATCTTGAAAACTAATAAAAATCGGGTAAATACATTAAGGGTCAATGAATTCGTCTTGAAAAGCACTCTCGCCTGCCCCCCCCCAAAATATATATTTCCATTTAAAAAGCGAAACTTCACCATCATATCTTTCAAATTAATAATATAAAAAAATTTCGTTTACGTCACAATATAGAGCCCATTGTATCCTCCAATTTACATATAAACAAATTTTTCGTAGCATTAATAGTTATTGAAATATGCGTCTGTCACACTTTAGCGTGGACACCCTGTACATACATTTATAACAACTACATATATACGTTTAACAATTTGAAAATATAGAATGCTTTTAATGTTTCTTAATAAAAGAATATACTGCATAATAAAATTCAGTAAATATCTACAGAAAATAAATTTATAAATTACAAAATTTCGTTTCAAATCTGAATCGTTGATTTAAAACAAATGTTTATCGCAACGAAATATTCAACAGAATGTCATCGCTTGACCTTTACATTTACCAATGCGAATATCATCGGAATTTCTGACGGGACAGTTGTAGGGTCTCTTTACTACAGTAACGTCTGCTTTCCCGTCACTCGCTCGGTACTGGGAAGTGCTGCTTAGATAGGCATGGACACGATTCTGTTCCTCGAACCGACTGCGTTTGTTTTCGAACTACCTTTAGAATCGATAACCGCAGATTATAAAATACCGAATGATATCGCTGTTTACGAGGAGGAAGACTTGGAAGACTATTCGAGTGATGATGGAATCGCACACATTTTTTTATGTGGATCGAGGGAGTATA